AATTGTCATGAAAAGTACAACAAACATCTCGTTACCTTGGTTTAGAAACTTTCCAAAAGGCCTATTTTGTGGCTACTAGGATTGAAGATGATCTTGCTAAAGAAAAAGCAAATAAGCCTCATCATCATCAACCTAAGAATAACTACAAAAAGGGGAATTATAACACTTCATCCTCTATTGATGTATTTGCGACTTCTACGCAATATAATAGCACAACTCAATATCACAGTAATGATCCTCGTAGAAGATGGATAAAAGAAATTAAAGAAGATTTACACAATTCCCTGTGAGTTACAAATAGTTGTTAGAAAAATTAAACGAAAAAGGTTTACTTACACTAACAGGGCCAACGCCACCCACTCCACCAGAAAAAAGATATGCCCAATGGGATGAAAATTCTTACTGTGCTTATCATAGAGGTGTTAGGCCTGATACTGAACGTTATTATGTCCTAAAGCACAAGGTACAAGATTTAGTATACGATGGGAGAATTCCCACGCCTAAACCCAACAATAATGTATCCTCATTAGGGGTATTTTACATTGATGAGGAACATATGGGGAGTGATACGTTAAATTGTTTGGACTATATCACACCTATAGGGAAACCTCTAGCCACAACACTCGTAAGGGCAACTATCGAAATGTGTGGATTATGGGATGACGACTTTCAAGACTTATACATCTCTTAAGTATGCCGCCGTCCCACCTCCACCTTGTCTACAAAATGAGACAAGTGGAGTGCTTTATTGGGATCATTTCTTGGGGAAATCGCAAGATTTATCAAATGTCCTTGGATGAACAATGGCATCAAGCACAACTCATGGACCATCTTGAAATGGAGGCACATTCAAAGCCTCTAGAAGAAAGTTGGTTCACGAGTCTTACAACTAACCCAAATGAGATAGATCATCTAACTCGTTCTGGGCGAGTTTATCAAGCACCACCAAATGGATCTTCGACCACTCAAAATCAAACTCAAGGTCAAGCTCAAAATTCAATACCACCTCCCCTTGAAGTGGAAGATCCATTGGTCAAACAACTTCGCCAATCCAAGGCGAATGTTAGCATTTGGGAACTCCTAAGTACTTCTAAAGAACATAGGAATTCTCTTATGAACGCTCTAATGGCTTTTTCTGTAAGCATAGACACAACTCCCAAGGATCTCGTTAGCTTTCTTACTAGCGAGAAATCCAACAAATCAATCATTTTTACTAGCGATGATTTGCCTTCAAAAGACACTACCCACAACAATGCATTATACTTAACTGTAGGGTGCAAGGGATACAACATCCCTCTTACTTTGGTGGACAATAGGTCAGTTGTAAATGTATGCCCATTACAAACTGAAAATACCTAGACCTTAATCCAAAAAAAGACTTCCAATCAACAACACAAAGCATTAGGGCCTATGACAACTCGAGGAGATCAGTGTGTGGAACTGTTAAGCTGCCAATTACCGCAGGCTTAATTCAAAAGATGGTTGAATTTCATGTCATGAATATTAAACCTACATTCAATCTTCTTCTTGGACGTTCTTGGATACATGAGCTTGGTGCAATACCATCCTCACTTCATCAAATGGTTAGGTTGAACTATCAAGGTCTTCTTATGACCATACATGCTTCTCCTCTCAAAATAGCAATAAATGATCAATCACTTCAAGAAATAAACCATGATAATGATGAAAAGAAAATATGAGTATTCGCCGCGGAAGCAATTTTCACACTAGAAATGGAGGAGAGACTTGAAGAACCATTCAAGCTTGATCCATACTTCACCCCAATAGTAAACAACATCTTATTCAAGAGTGGTTACTTTCCGAGGATGCCTTTGGGAATAGAATTGAAGAAGTCTCTCTTACTTCCTATCCCAAAGAAAAGCTTCTCCTTTGGATTGGGATATAAACCAACCAAAGAAGAACTAGGATCTCACGATGCTAAAATCAAAGCACATAGAGACAACGATAAGAAAGGGATAATCCCTTTACTCCCATCCTACAATCGAACCCTTAATGGACAATTCATTAAGGATGGAGATGATTACCCATTGTAGACACCCAAATGTGTCTCCCCAAAACCAAACCTAGAGATGAATAACTTTCATGTCATTTGATTATCGAACGAGGTGAAAGTGTGAAAAGTCTAGTGATGAGGATGTTTTTATTAAAATATCTCTTCTTTCTGTTTTTGAAAATATTTATTTTCTTACCCTATTTATGAAAAACGTGCATTCCATTTTATTTTGGTCCATGATAAGGGTACATTAATAGTTTAGTTGGATAGGGCTCAAAAATAACTTTCCAAAGATATATTATAAGCCCAATTCCGATGAATAATGAGGAAGTTATGGCCAAAATACTAAACCGTGCCCGGTTTGGTTCTTACATGCAGTCCAATGATCTAGAGGAGGGCCTATTATTAATTATCATTACTAAAGATATTAGGATTGATTATAGTCTTATAGAATACTCTAGAAGGTTATCTTAAATCCTATTGGAGTTAGGATTGATAATTATGTTTCAAACAATTTGAAATTGAATAAAACTACTCATTTTGAGAATCCTTGTTTTGTACAAAATGGAATGTATTCAGATATTATTTTCATGCCTCATAATATTTATCCAAATATTATATGGTTGGATAGATATTGAAATTATCTTTCCAATGATATATTATAATATTAAATCCGAGCTATAACGAAAAAGATATGAATGGAATATGAAACTCTATCCAAAACTGACACCCTTCCACTATTTCGGCCATATCATTTTTTCTACAAAAGATTTTAATCTTATTCTAATTGTGTTGGAAATTATACTTCAAGAGATTTCAACGACATATTATATGACTTATTTGGACTTTTGGATCAAAAGATATGATAAAAATAAAATTCGTAAAAACTGTCTTGCATCGCCAAACGACAGTCTTGTCACTTGGCGACAAGCCCTGTCGTTGGCGACAGAAGCGTGTTTTATTCCTTTTCGAACTCTGATTTGTTTCTATCGATTCCGGACTATTTTCTTATAAATAGGGTTCCTGGACCTCCATTTTTCAATAACCAGAATTCTCTAATTATTCTATCTCTCTAAGATAAAGCTTATTTTCTCTCTCCCTCTATCTAGTCTAGCCTCTTTACAAACACAATTCCACATACATTAGCACTAGACACACCTAGCCAAGTTCAAAGTTGCCTTCGCCCTAAACGTGAAAGGTTTGATAATTCTGAGGGTTTGGTCCCTAAACTCTATTTCAATTATTTAATTTAATTCTTTAATTTTATTATTTTCCTTGAAGTTACTAACGCGTGTATTTTGTTATTAGAAAGAGATAAGAGGCATCCAAGTAAGTACTTTAATTGTTTAATTGATATTTTGATATAAAAATCATGCTTAGGTTGTTATTTTGATTCCTAGTATCATGTTAGGATGCTTTTCTTAGTATCATGTTTAGGGTAAAGAATGAGTTTCTTAAATAAATTATGATTTCTATGATGCTTCCTATTTCTTTCCTAATATTATGTTAGTACCATGTTAGGGCTAAAGCTTTGATTTTTATTGTTTAGTGACACGCTAGGGTTTGTTATTAATATTGTTAGTATCATGCCTAGAATCTTGCTTTAATATTATGCTTTAACATGATTGTTTTGATTATAATTATTTATGGTTTTTATTTTATGATGATTTTTATTTTAATTATAATTATTATTTTGATGATTATTATGTTGCGTGATTTTTATATTTATTGTTATTGCTTGAGCATACCTTTTATGCATGTTTAAAGGAAATTTGTACTTGTAATCACGCTTAATAAGATAATTAATAATCTTGTTTAGGGTTAATATGATTATAATTCAAGTGATCGCCAATAATAGTTTTGTTTGTGCATTAATATTCAACCAACGTAGATTAAACCGGTTTAGGGTAAACCTATTGTTTGCATGTTAGTTAGAAAGCGCACATGAATACGAGAAGAATAAAGTAGAGGCCTATTATTACGGAATGTTCTTTCTCTTTTAGATTGAATTTGTACCTTCATCCCCGAGCTTCCAGTCTTGGTTCCAGATTTATTGGAGTTAATGATCTCTTGTATCGTTAGGGGGTGTAACCTTCACCCTGTGAACGATTTACAAGTTCCTAAAACTTGTTGGCGACTCTTTTTCTCTAGCTTCCTTCCCTTTGGACGCCACCATGCTTAAGTGTATGATCATAGTGGGGTTCAAGTTTGGGGTAATGCTTGAAATATTCCCTACACCCATGCTATGACTTTCCAGAACCACTAGTTCTAGAAGGTATCAAGAAGCCTGGATTCGAGATATTCCACGATTGCTACTTCTTGAATGACGATTTCAATATCGTTCAATCAAAACACCCAACTCCAGGGTGCTATGATAGGCAAGCATTCAACTTGTTATTTGGACTAGAGCAAAACCATGTTGCTACAATGACTAATCAGAACGCCATCCAAGATGAAACTTTTGACCCAACCTCGTTGATCACCCCTTCTAATGAGACCTTTGAGCATGGATGGAGGAAATATTTTAAATATACCAATCATAAAGGTGATAAGTTTTAAATCATCACTGACGAAGGGAAGATGTTTGAAGAATCTGACGATGAATCCACTTTAGATTTTAAGGAAGATGAAATTTTAGGCCTTGTGGCCAATACTGAGTCTTTATTTTCTAGTTATAAGGACGAAGATCCCAAAAAGGATTCTTCTCTCAATGTACTTTCTTTTGATTTCAATAATATGAGCTCTATTTTCGAGTATCACTACTAGAAAACAGGCCTTAATTATCGGAAATTTTAGTATCAGTAATTATTATTGATACTAAAAATGTCAGTAGTATCAGTTATTTTTTTTCTGACACTACTTCCATGGTTTGGACGGTAGGCTGGTATTAGACTTTATTATAGTGATGGAAAAATATTAATCCGTTACAAATGACAAAATATTATCAGAAATGTTCCGACACTATAGGATTTGTAATATCGAAACTAATTTTGATACAATAAAATAGTTATAGTAACAAAAAGTTCTGACACTAATTTCCTTTTTACCATCAAAATTATTTCTGATACTATTAAATACTTAAGTAACAAAAATTTCCGATACTAAATCACCTTATGAATATCTTATAAAAAAATTGGCGCTTTTACAAAAAAAAGAAAATAAAAAGATGGCCACATTAAAATATTAGAGAAATTTGAAACATTTTCACTTATAAAATTTCACCTCGGTAATGTAACCAAAACCAAACCCAAAAGAAAAGTCCTTCCTTTTATCATTTCATCAGTAAAAACAACAAAGAACACTCTTAGTCTCTCTCCTCACTCTATTTCACGAAGCTAGGGTTCTAGCAAAATCTGCTCAAATTTACAAAAATTATCATTCATCTACTCAAATTTACAAAAAAAAAAAATCAAACATTACGCTCGAAGTTGTTGCTCATTTGTAAAATATTACAAGATTGAACCTCGTATTATTCTCTAATGGTTGCGCGTCAAGCGGGATCTGCTGGGTTTTGCAATTGAAATTCACTAGCGGTGATTATTTGTAAGTTTATAGTACTTTCTTTGAATTTCGTTTATTTTTAGCTTAATTTGTCAAAAATTGTTGATTTAAATGTGAAAAACAATAAGGATTAGTCTGAACTAGTTTGGTCATAAATTAGTGAGTATTTATATGGTCAGAATTAATTTGGTATCAAAATTTCAAAGGATTTTGTTAAAATTGTTAAGAATCTAGTTGGTCTGAAAAAATATTGTAAAAAAAAAATCGAAAGATTGTGCGATGGGTTTAGTTTACCCCATATTGAAGAGTAGTCTCCCTGCTTTACTTTGTCAGTGAGATGTTACAGCAAAGATGAAAGTTTTACAAATGGGTCTACTTCTTTGTAATTGCTTGTTAATTTCATTGTTAAGGGCCTACTTCTGTGTAATTGCTTGTTAATTTCATTGTTAAGGGTCTACTTCTTTGTAATTGCTTTTTAATTTCATTGTTAAGTTCTTGCCTTTTATCTATAATCTTGAATTTCTATTGATTTTATGATAATATAAAGTAGCAAATTTTAATAAAAATAATGTAGTTTAAATGGCCACTAGATCTAAATTAAATTGAAACGAAGATGAAAGTTTTAATTGTATGCAACATGTAGCTTCTACATACCAGTGGGTTTTTGAGGGTAGATTGGTATTCTAAGGGTGGGAGTTTCTATTATTCTCATTATTTTGATAATAATTATCCATCTCTTTGTTTTACTCATGCTACCTGCCTACCTCTATCTTAATAATTTCAATTGTTAAATTACCACATTATCTCTTTTATCATTAACTCTAATCACTTATAATTTTCCTAGTTCAAAGTTTATTATCCATAATACATTATCCCAAATCCAAGGATAATCTTAGTAGTATTACTTTTCAATCATTGAGGTTATAAATTTTAATTTTTAAAACTATATATAATAAAATTATGGTGTAAGTCCAATGGCAGTAACCTCAATAATATAGCACTTGGCAACAACTATTAGTTTCTAGTAAACTTAGCTATTAGTACTTTTTTTCACCAGTTAATTGATTTTAAGTAAAATTTGAAACTATCCTTATCATATTTTTGCTATTTCTTTTCTTAGAAGCATGGTTTAGAGTTTTATAAGACTAACTAAATCCATATACAATTCTTAGGTCTACTTTAATTTAATATCATCGTATGACTTTTAAGCTACTTAAGTGTATGGTTTAAATTTAATATTATAACAAAATTGTTAGGATTATTGTTATCTAATACTAAAATTCAGTTTTAATTTTGTTTCGCGCAGCTAGCTATTTTGATATTATAAACAATCAAAGGTGTTAAGCTCCTCAGATCAACTGGTGTTGTTGTTATATTTCGGGTAGCGTTGGTGAAAATCTATACTTTGCGGATTAAGTTCTTGTTGGTACTATCTCTTTCCTCTATTATAAGTATACCTTATTCCATTATAGTTAAACATTGCTATTGATCATATTTCTTTTTTTGTTAATATAGTAACTTGTATGTTGTGTAAGTTGTATGATTAATTATTACTTTATCGATGGGGTGTAATGTGATAGATTTGCATCCAAGCCTTTTGCTTTCTATTAATTGAAATTTTAATTATGACTTAATTGAATATAGCTTTTTAATTGGGATTGATAGGTGTGTGAATTTGTATCATGGATATTGAAAAGAGATGGGTTCATAAATTCTGTTGTTATTGCCTCAACTTTAAATGGGAGGATTAAATGTCCGTGTAGGAGATGTTCTGTTACTGTGTACCTTGATCCTAAAGATGTTCGTGAGCATTTATTTTGTGAGGGTTTTGATAGAAACTATGCTAATAGTGTATGGGTTTTTCACGGGGAAGAACCTTCACCATCAGGCTTAGATGATGAATCTCATAGTGATGAGGAGTCAATTCTTAGTATTGATGATATGCATGGATTACTTCATGATGCTTTTGGGTTTCCTAATTTTGGTGATAGCATAGGTGAATATCCTGAACCTGGTGAGGGGGGGCTGATTTAGAAGCTGAAAAGTTTCAAAAGCTTATGGAAGATGCTAAAACTGAATTATATCCTGGATGTGACAAATTTACTACTTTGTAATTTATTCTTCGTCTTTATCACATGAAATGTTTGCATCGTTGGTGTGATACATGCTTGAATGGTATGCTACAATTCTTTAATGAGCTTCTTCCTAAAGGTTCAAACTTTCCAAAGAATCTTTACCAAATGAAAAAAGTCCTAGCGAACTTAGGTTTGGAATACACTAAAATTGATGCATGTCCAAATGATTGCATGTTGTATTGGAAATAGAAGGTTAATGATGAAATTTGTACTATGTGTAATGTTTCAAGATGGAAAGATCCTTCAATTGGAAAGAAAAGTGGTCCAACAAAGGTGCTACGTCATTTCCCCCTCATACCACGCTTAAAGCGTCTTTTTATGTCATCTAAAACATCCAATTTAATGAGATGGCATAAAAAGGGACGTAGTAAGGATGGGAAACAAAGGCATCCGGTTGATTCTTTAGCTTGGAAGAGTTTTGATGAGAAATATCCCGATTTTTCTCAAGATGTTAGAAATGTTAGACTTGGTTTGGCTAGTGATGGTTTTAACCCATTTAGTAATATGAGCACTAATCATAGTACTTGGCCTGTTATAATTATGGTGTATAATTTTGCCTTCGTGGTTATGTATGAAAGATTCATATTTTATTATGTCACTCCTTATTTCTGGTCCTACATGTCCTGGTAATGACATAGATGTTTATTTACAACCTTTAATTGATGAGTTAAAGGAATTGTGGGATGGTGTGGAGACTTATGATGCTTCAACAAATAACACTTTCATGTTACATGCTGCATTAATATGGACAATAAATGACTCCTGCCTATGGAATGCTTTCGGGGTGGAAAACTAAAGGCTACTTTGCTTGTCCTCATTGCAATGTTGATACCTGCTCTTATTTTTTAAAAAAGAAGTAGGAAGCTATGTTATATGGGACATCGTCGTTTTTTGGACCTTAATCATGCATTTAGAAGAAGCAAGGCTGCATTTAATTGTAAAATTGAGGAAAGATCACCATCAAAGTTACGATCTGGTGTTGATTTGCTATTTCAAATGCGTAAGATTAAGGTCATCTTTGGGAAGCATAGTAAAAAGCCTAGGGGTCTGAAGAGGAAGAGAAAGGGAAGTAAGAAAAAAAAATGAGTTCAGGTTGGAAAAAAAAAAGTATATTCTTAACATCATTTTATTGTTGGATGATATGTTGGAAGTGTTAATTTCTTTTTACCCTGTGGTTACCATTTGTACATGTTTACTTTGATTTCCTACTAGTTATTCTTATACATAATTATATAAATAGCATTTTCCATGAGATTCTCTAAGTTGACCAACTACTATTATACTGAGATTATGATTGCTTTTTCCTATAATTTGTTTTGTTTTGTTTTGTCTACTAATCTAAGCTATTTTTTTTTTTTTAGCTTAATTACTTTGCGGAAATAAAATAATCACACAACTTTATATATCATGTTATTTTTAAACCATGATTTTCGCATGTTATATGCTACATTGTCTTAACAGGTTCAACTTCGAGCTAACAATCAGATTTTAGTGCAAAAAGCCCAATTTTATCTGGTCGCGCATATGTTTTTGAAGAAAACGAGATGAGGTCATAACCCTTTTCATTTTGAAGAAACTATCATGATCTATGTACATTAACTATTGAATTGTGGTGATTTTAACACCCTTTGGATGTGCATTACACATCAATTTTTTGTACTAAAATTGTGACGATAAATAAAATATAATGCAAGTTATCCTTTTGGTATTTATATATTAATATATATTGACACTTGCAGTACATGATCTTTTTTATCAGTTTTCTGTTTATTGAATATCCTTCTGTAACAAATATTTCTTATACTATTCCTTTGGAATAAAAAAAATTTAGATGTCAAAGATGCCTTATTAGTATCATATCTTTTCGATACTATAGTCATTTCCCAAAGCTAATATATACTTTTGTAACAATAAGTTCTGACACTATAAGGATTATTTAATATCGGAAACCAATTTGATACTAAAGGTCTAACTCTTTTGTATCAAATATTTCTGATACAATAGTATTTATATAGTAACAGAAGAATTTTGATACCACATGACATGATAATTGCATTGGAATTTTTGTTACTATTTATCTGATACTATTGATTTTTCCGATACTATAGGCACCCCTTTTTAGTATCGGATTGGATATCTGATACCAACCCAGTAGCCACGGAGGTACTAGTATCAGTTGAGTGTCGGAAATTATTTCCGATACTTATGACCTTTGGTATCGGAAAACAGCCCTTTAGTATCACTTAATTTCCAATACTAAAGACCATTTTTCTGGTAGTGTATATGCCTTCTCTTGAATCTTTTGAATGCTATCACAATCAATCTAACAAAGATGATAATATTAACAAATTGGTTTTTTTTTTAAATAATATTAACAAATTGGTTAAATTAATGGATGAACAAGAATAAAAGAACCCTATAATTGAAGAAATTGAAACAATCAATATAGGAACCAATGAGAACAAAAGGGAAGTCAAAATTGGCTTAACTTTAAATCCAGAAGAGCGATTGATCTTACTATCGACGCTCAAAGAATTCGAAGACGTGTTCACTTGGTTATACAAGGACATGCCTGGAATAGATAGGGAAGTTTCGGAACATACCATTCCCTTGAACCTTACTTCTAAACCAGTAAAACAAAAACTTCGACAAATGAAACGTGATGTCGCTTTGAAAATAAAAGAAAAAGTACAAAAACAATTAGACGCAGGTTTCATTCGTGTATGTATTTACCCATAATGGGTAGCGAACATCGTCCCATTCCCTAAAAAGGATGGACGAGTTCGCATGTGTGTCGACTTTAGGGACCTTAACAAGGCTATCCCTAAAGACGATTTTCCTCTACCTCATATTGACATATTGGTAAATAACAAGAATGAACATGCGATGTTATCCTGTATGGATGGATACGCAGGTTACAACCAAATTCTATTGGCAAAAGAGGACGAAGAAAATACATGCTTTATCACCTCTTGGGGTACATATTGCTATAGAGTTATGCCATTTGATCTAAAAAATGCAGGAGCTACATACCAAAGAACGACTACGACTCTCTTGCATGATATGATGCATAAAGAAATAGAAGTGTATGTGGATGATATGATTGTAAAGTCCAAAGATAGAATGGGACATATAATAGCTTTACGCAAATTCTTCACTTGCATAAAAGAATATAAAATGTGATTGAATCCACAAAATTGCACCTTTGGAGTAACTTCGGTCAAGTTACTCGGATATGTAGTAAGCACACGTGGTATTGAGATTGATCCCTCTAAAATAAAGCCAATTGTTGACATGCATCCCCCTCAAAAAGAAAAAGAAATTAGGGGTTCCTTGGTAAACTACAGTACATAAATTGATTCATCAACAAATTGACTATGACTTGTGAGCCGATATTTTAAAAATTGTAAAAAGAGGAAAAACATGAATGGGACGATCAATGCCAAAAGGCCTTCGAGAAAATCAAAGATTATCTCAAAAGTCCACCAGTTTTAGCACCACTAGTACCCAAACTACCTCTTAGGATATACATCATAGTCACAGATACGGCCACAAGAGCCATGTTAGCACAAGAGGTAGAAAACGTCAAGCGTGCAATATATTACATAAGTAAAAAACTCATTCAATATGAAACAAAATACAGCTCCTTGGAAAAAACAAGTTTAGCATTGGTGTGGGCAACTAAAAAATTACGACATTATATGTTATCACACACTACTCATGTGATTTCGCAACAAAATCCGATAAAGTATTTGTTTGAACAACCACCTATACAAGGAAGAATATCCAAGTGGTTGGTAATGTTGGCCGAATTTGAACTAAAATATATCCCCCGAAAATACAATAAAAGGGAAAGTCATATCTTATTTTCTGACACAACATCCTATTCAAACAAGTCATGCAGAATCTACTCATCTTTCGAATGAAGAGATTCTTATGACGCAAGATGACAAATGGGTAATGTACTTCAACGGTGCATTCAATCAAAAAGGATGTGGTGTGGGAGTGTTACTCATAAGTCCAGAGGGAGCACATACTCCAATCTCTGTTAAACTAGACTTTGAGGATACTAATAATGCCACAGAATGTGAAGCGTGCATTATTGGACTAGAAGTAGCACCTAGCATAGGTGTGCAAATATTAGAGGTATATGGAGATTCTAGCTTGATAATAAATCATATACTCAAAAAATGGAAAATAAAGAACTCCACAATGATATTATACCAAAAGCACACCTAGAGAAACTCATTGAGCATTTTGAACATATTGATTTCAAATATCTCTCAAGGGATGATAATCAATTTTCCGAAGCGCTAGCAAAATTAGCCTCAATGATCAACATTCCAGATCACTTAAATATGATGCCATTATGCGTTGATAGAAGAGAAGAACCAGTGTATTGCAACGCAATAGAGGAAATAAATGACATCGAAGGAGATAATCCTTGGTACGATCATATCCTCCAATATATTACTCATGGAAAATATCCTGAAAATACTTCATCGAAAGGCCAACGAGCCTTAAGAACACTCGCAGCCTAATATGGTAGATTAAATGGTCAATTATGCAAAAAGAGACCTAATGGTCAAAGTTTATTGTGTATAGACCAACCAGAATCCACACGCTTTATCGAAGACACTCACAAAGGTGTTTGTGGACCTCACATGAATGGAAAAATTCTTGCTAAAATAATCTCACGGCAAGGGTACTATTGGTCCACTATGGAACATGATTGCATACAATTTGTCAAAAAATGTTCGAAGTGCCAAATGTTCGCTAACTTACAACATCTAACACCATCTAAACTGTACAACCTCACTTCCCCTTGGCCTTTCTTGACTTGGGGAATTGACATAATTGGCAAAATTTCTCCATTTGGAATAGGAGAACACGAGTACGTACTAGTAACCATCGATTACTTTACTAAATGGATCGAGGCTGCTTCTTACGTAAATATCACTTCTAAACATGTCGCAAAGTTTCTCGAGCAAAACATATTTTCTAGATATGGAGTTCCACACAAACTAATTAGTGATCAGGGATCTCAATTTAAAGCAGAAGTAGAGACCTTCTTAGCTCGTTATAAAGTAAAACATCATCACTCATCTCCTTATGGACCTCAATTGAACGGAGCTGTAGAATCAAAAAATAAAAACATAACAGTCATCATTAAGAAAATGGCAGAAAATTACAAAGACTAGCCGAATAAACTACACTTCGCTCTATGGGGTTATGGAACATCCATACGAACATCAATAGGAGTAACTCCATACTTCTAGTTTTCAGAATGGACGCAGGTCAACCAGTTGAACTGGAAGTACCATCCCTATGCATCGTACTCGAAAGTAAGCTGCCGAAAGCTGAATGGACAAGAGCGAGGTATGAAGAGCTTTTATTTCTCGACGAACGACGATTAAGAGCTTGCATCATGTACAAGTCTACCAACGACGCATTGCGCGACATTTTAACAAAAGGGTACGACCCCGAAATATTATAGAAGGCGACTTTGTACTAAAAGAGGTTAGGGGTCCACAACTGATCCAAGAGGGAAATCCAAGCCTAATTGGATAGGACCTTACCGCGTAATTGAAATTCTATCAGGAGGAGCTGTCAGATTAATGGATATTAGGGGTGATGAAATTCGCCAATTAATAAACATTGATCGACTTAAAAAATATAACATATGAAATCCGGATAAACTCGTTCATTCATTAAACAAACCTCTTTTTAGCATTCAAATAAAGATTCTAAGTGTTATTATGCACTTTACCGAACACCACAGTAAAGTTCACAACACTTGGGGAGGTAATTAAAAATATATATATACCATTCAAAGTGTTCAGAAATTTTCGAACATCACGAAAAAGTCTTCACACTTGGGGGTAAAAATACAATTAAAAAAAATTTACACTCGTAGCACAGGAGTTGCGCACGGCAGGCACGCGCAAACTTGGATGTTGCGAGCGCCACCTGATGACGAAATGTGAGCCCTGAATTTTACGCTCGAATAAAATCTCGATTTTTACTTGTGATAAAAGAAAGGGGGTGTTTCTCAAACATCATATACTCGGAAAATAAAAAATTAAACTTTGATTTATGATTGATAAACAAAGCTTGATTAATTTTTCTTTTAATTTCTATAAAGGGAATTAAAGAAAAATAAAATAAATAAAAAAAATGTAATAATGTTACAAAGAACTACGCAACGACCTGATTTCCTGATACGAATACGTAGAAATCTTTATGATTCGGTCATATAAATAAAAATAAATAAATAAAGCTCATTTATTCCATTCAAAATTAAAAAAAACATCATCAAAATAGATAATAATTATAAAAAAAACATAGTAGTGATTACACTTTATTCGAATTAAAACTATTAATAATTGTGTAACACTCTAAGGTTTTACTATATCCTCGATTGTCACGGTGGACGGAGGAGTAGTTTCCATTCCAGTATTTTTGGCAACCTTAGAGTTTTCCCCTTCGCTTTTCTTCTTAACCTGAACGTTCTTCTTCAACCTTGAAATAGGAGCTTTTTCAATTATTTTCCCTTTTCCTTTGTCATTTGTTGGAGCCTTTTTGCGAGGATTTGGTGAAGGTTCCTTAATCTTCACACCCTTTTGTGTGGGTTTAGGTTGAGCCTTTCTTTTTGGCTCCCTTGAACGAGCCATAGGCGATTAGGTGAAGTCTAACTTTCTTCTTCCTCCTTTGTTTTGGCC